CAGGATGAATGGATTCCTACAGCAGAAACACAATCTGAATGTCGGGTGAAGCGGATTCGCACTGATCGTGGTGGAGAATTCACGGGAGACAAGCTGGAGAATTGGCTGAAGAAGAGGGGGAACCAAAGAAAGGGCGTTTCTTCGACAGCCGAGACGTGAAATTCCTTGAGAACGTGATGTACGGGAGCTGGAAACAACAGCCGGAGGAGAAAACTGCACAGCAGCTGCAGGAGATTTCTCTGTCATTCGATCTGATTCAGAAGGAAGCCCCTCAGGCAGAACCTGCAGAAACCAAGGAAAACGGGGTCGAAGTGGGGGAAGGCAGCGAGGAGCCAACCGAGGAGTATAGTCGAGCAAAAGGGAAGGAAGAGCAGCAGCATCCTCTCACTCAAGTGAAACCTCCATCCCTGCCCGCGAGGAGAACTCAAACGCGCTCAATGTCTAATAGAGCAGCATCAGCAACCGCAGCAGATCTGATGAGGACGGCAGCGCTGAAGCTGAGAAACCTAAACTTATGGGAACCAGAAGGGGCGCTTCAGGAAAGGGAAGATGCTCTATTAGTGACAGGGGACGGAACCAAGGCTGAAAGCAAGGAAGAGCCGGCTTACTGTTTCGTGATCCCTGAACAACCTGCGAGCATGGAGGAAGCCCTCGCCGGAGCAGACAAGGAAAAATGGCTTGCGTCCAGGGATGCTGAATACAACAGCCTACTAAAGAATAACACCTGGGAACTCGTTCCCTTGCCGGAAGGAAAAAGGGCGCTTCAGTGCAAATGGGTCGTGCGGATCAAAACTGACGAGAAGTGCGAGGTGACAGTGTACAAGAGCAGATTGGTGGCAAAGGGTTTTCAACAGAAGGAAGGGGAGGATTTTCGAGAGCTTTTTGCGCCCACTGCTAAACCTCCAACTCTGAAAGTAGTTCTTGCTGACGCAGCAGTGAGCAGATGGTACATCCAACAGATGGATGTAACCACGGCTTTTCTCTACGGGGTAATCGAAGAGGAAGTCTACATGGAGCAGCCTTCGGGATATGAGGACGGAACGGGGAGAGTATGCAAGCTGAACAAGGCTATCTACGGTCGTAAGCAGGCTCCAAGGTGTTGGTATCAAAAACTGGCAGCCGTTTTGTGGGAGCTGGGATTCCGAGCAAGCAGCTGTGATGAGAGCTTGTTTCTGAAGGGCGAGAATAGGCATGATCATTAGGCCCGACCCGACCCGACCCGACCCGACTTGGGCGGGCCAGCCGGGTTCCGGGACGGGTCGGGTCGGGTCGGAACTTAAAAAAATCCTGGCCCGACCCGGGTATCGGGTGCCGGGTCAGGCGTGACCCGCCCCCGGGTCGGGTCGGGTAGGGGCCGGGTCGGGTCGGGTCGGGCCAGGACCCCATATGCAGGGTAAGAGGTTCTCCTTACTACTGTGCGCTGTTGCACTGATTGAATATTTGTGTAATATTATTATATGAACGTCCTCCATTTTGTAACTAGACTATGGGGGGTCGCGTCACTATCGATGCGGGCCTGGTAGGCGCGCAGGGGGCGATTAGAACGCGGGACCAGAGTTTAGTCGCTTGTGAGAGCTAAGAATAACTATTTCTATAGAATCGAATATCTCTGCCTGGTCGCGCTAGGTTAAAAAGACCCTTACGCCAACATGGAAACACTAGTAATAGTGTTCCTTAACATGGGCGCGGGTTTAGAGAGTAGTAGAGCTTGAGAACGATTGCTTGCTAGCTGCCTAGGTATTGCAGATCGAAGTCAATGTCGAGGGAACAAACAAACCCTAGACATTGACTTCGCGATCTGCTTTAGTGCAAATTGTCGAGGGAGGAAAAGTCGGGTCGGGCCAAATACTCGACCCGACTTAGGGCGCGGTACCCGAAACCGGGTCGGGTACGACTTCGGGTCTAAATCTGACCCGACCCGACCCGACCCGACCCGACCCGACCCGGTTTCGGGTGTCGGGTCGACCCGACCCGACCGGGTAAACCCGACCCGACCCGGCCGGGCCAGCGCTTCAAAATGCCTGACCCGACCCGGGTCAAAACCCGGGTCGGGTCGGGTCGACCCGACCCGCCGGGGCAGGATGATCATGCCTAGGCGAGAAGGAGGAGATGGTGCTGTTCTTGGTGTATGTCGATGACATACTACTATTCAGCAGCAGCATAAAGGAGATTCAAAAGGTGCAGAAAGGGCTCATGGAGACTTTCCAGTGCAAGGTCCTTGGAGAGGCTTCCTACTACCTCGGCATGCACATCGAGCGCGACCTTGATCACATGTGGCTGAAGCTTCACCAAGAGAAGTACGTGAAGCAACTGCTGGAGAAGTACGACATGGAGCTCGGACGGAAGGTCGCCACCCCACTACCATGCGAATTCAAACTTGTCAAAGCGGAGGAAGGAGAAGGAGTTGAGGAGGGAGAGCAGCGGCGCTACCAATCACTTGTGGGGAGCCTTCTGTACGCCGCTGTACACACAAGGCCGGACATCTCCTTTGCAGTCGGACAACTCGCCAGGGTGGTGTCCAACCCAACTGAGGAACAAGTTGACGCAGCCGAAAGAGTCGTGAAGTACCTGAACTCATTCCGATCTGTAGGAGTTCAATTCTCAGCAACGGCACAGCAGAAGCAGAAGGGGGTAGAGCTACTGAGGGAGAAGGGAGAGAGGCTACCGGAACGGAAACTCTTTCTCACTTGCTTCTCGGACGCAACCTGGGCATCGGAGCAGGAAGACTCATCCTCTGTGGGTGGATATATCTGCATGATAGGGGGAGGACCGGTGAGCTGGAGGTCCAAGAAACAGAGTGAATCGGCTCTTTCATCTGCCGAGTCCGAGTACATGGCCATGTTTCATGCCGTCAAGGAAATCATATGGCTGAGAAGGTTACTGGAAGAGAACGGTCAAGAGCAGACGATTCCCACGCCACTCTACTGCGACAACATGTCAGCAATCGCAATGGCTCGCAACGCTGTCCTTCATGGCCTCAACAAACACATGCGCCTGAAGTGGCACTGGTTGTGCAAGGAAGTTAATTGAGGAACTGTCAACCCGATCTACATTAAGACACAGCAGCAGCCGGCAGATGTCTTGACCAAGCGGCTGGCTGACGAACCACACTAGCGATGTGCGCGGATGAGCGGCATGAGCATGAACTAAGGGAGAGGGGGAGAAAAACCGACAGATTGAGGGGGAGTGTGTTAATACAGAATCAATTTTCTGTATATCAATCAGCCGGTTTATCTCCTGGGAGTGCACAAGTCATTTGAGGCGAGAAGCGCTGAGGCGGATCGTTTATTATCGAAGTGGGATTTAGCTTTGACCAATGGGAGGTGTCGGTTCATAAACTCGGCTTGACTCGACTGATCGATCGATCAAATGGCAGCACGGAATTCCCGTTCGCGCTGCGAGCTCGTTGGTGCTCAAAGCGACGAATTTCGACTGTGCTGATTGGTCACTGTTCGCACAGCGAGTTCGTCGTTCTGAACAGGTTCCGAACATGCTCAGAACAGGTTTTCGAACATGTTTTGAACAGGTTGCGAACATGTTCAGAACAGGTTTCGAACATGTTCTGAACAGTGTTCACGCAAGTTCGTAACAGGCTTCGAACAAGCTGACGCGGCTGAAGCAGAGGGCAGCTACTCGCGCACCGACATTCTGAGAGCTGCACTCTCGCCATCTGGAACTCGTCAGCTCGAGAAAGCGCTCACGACTCGAGCGATCAAAGTACGTGGCGAAACTACTAACGCCACCAGTATTTCAAGCGAGGAGATTGGCCCAAATCAGCACGCATGTTCAAGACAGCGAAGCTGACACAAATAAACAGAACGGATCGATCGGAGCCGTTATCAGAAGAGCGCGAAAATAAGAACGGATCAATGCCGTTAATAAAATTCGCGCGAACGTTTAAAATATTCGCCGGCGAATCGCAACCTAGCCGAGTCACAAAATAAAACGAGGGAAACGCGAAAATTGCTCGCGCCTCGCTAATGATAGGAAGTGCTTAGAGATGTTAGATATCTAGCAGTAGGATCAGCCTAGAGAATATAAAAATGTATGTCTTGGATATTAAATAATACACTCTCTGTCTATCAAGCATTCTCCCACGCGACTCTCAAGTTTATCAAGGATTCTCTGACTACGCCGCAAGATAGGACTTCCGCTGCTACAGTTCTACGCTACTGAGATTCTCTTTCGACAAACTCGGACCCTTGGATAGGGGCTGACTTCGGTCAGGCACCCAAGGACCCTCGGAGGTGACCCCGAGAAGAGTTGTTTCAGCTATCGTGGTACTATCAGCAGTAGGAACTAGGTGATTTGTTTGTAACAACTTCCCCACTTCCTCCCTTCATGCAATGCCTGTGGTAGCTATTTCTGATTTGGAAATAAAGCATCAACTTACCATTGGCTTGCCAAGTGCCCAGCTGTCATAACTACGTGACTCTCGCCACCATAGCTGCACTGCATGTGTCCTTGATGAATCATGCTCACTCCCACACTTGAGGTCACAAACTCCGACACATGTGGCGGCAGTGGCGGACAGCCATGGGGCAGCAAGATGCATGAGACCGAAAAACAGGTGCCACGGCTGTGGCTACGCCAGTAGGACTCGCCTGATTGTGCTGAGGAGGCGCAAAAGGCACGCATGCTAGGGGCAGATGCGGTACGGTACCATCACGTGTGAACACCAGTCTGACTTGTGTGGTGAGAGAGAAGGCGCTCATGTCTCACCTGATGACGCTGAGAAGGTACGAGAGGCACTTGATGGCACGCGAGGCCTCGTGAATCGCTCATGGCAATGTGCACAGCGGAGGGGGGCCAGGGACGATAACGCAAGTCAAATGTACCCGATGGCGCTCAGGAGGTGAGAAAGGGACGCGTGGTAGTAGAGATGCTTGTGACAGTGTGTAGCGCGGGAGGGGGGGCTGTGAATTATACCTGATAATGTGCAACCGCTTGGTAGTGTGCAAGTCAAACGTACCTGATGGTCCGGAGGAGGGCTTAGGGTTTTACGCGTGGTAGAAGCGGATACGATGCAGGTCACTGGTGGCCAGCGTGCAGGGCGGAGGAGAGACAGTGACTACACCAAAACCGCTTGCTAACCGCAGCCCGACTCACCTTATTGCGCGGAGAAGATGCGAGAGGTACGCGTGGTAGTAGCGGATGCGGTGCGGGTCACTGGTGGCCACGTGCAGCGGCAGCGATGGGTCGTCCCCTTCATCTAGACCTGCAGGGATGTGTGAAGGTGTCGCGGTGTGAAGGAGGGTGGGGATAGGTTGAAGGACGGAAGGGAGGAGTGGAAAGGTGTGAGCCAGAGAGGGTTGGATTGTGTGGCTCACACTCACTCATTATCCTCATTGGGCCTTGCAGATGGGGGGATGAGGGCTCAAGCGAGACATGAAAAAATATCATTCTGAGGTGACAGGGGACCTCAGTGGCGGTGGTGTGAGACAAACGAAGGGAGTTATGTGCAGGCCGGTGGTTGAGCGATGAAGCAGAGAGAAGCGACAAGGATGGGACAAGACGGAACAAGATCCACACAGCAAGGCGACCTTCGGCGCCTCCCTAATCCTTAAAAAGGAGAATTTGGTGAACATGCACGGCAATTGCGATGGCATAAACGCTGCACCCACATTATGTGCCCCCAGGCCCCTCCATTACCATTCTCTGTGATGTAGATGGGTGGTGCCCCGTATGTGGTGGTGATGTGCATGAGCAGCTTCTGGAAGCCCCACGGCACCTCGTACAGCCATGGGGACGCCGCCTGGTGTGATGTAAGTTGGGAGGCGTGCATGGTGAGAGGCAAGGGGGAAGAAAGGGGGTGAGCAGGTTGTGAAGTGCTCTCAGCACCTCAACTCGTACGGCCATGGCGATGCAGACTGCAGGTGATAGGTTGGCGCGCGTGCATCGGGGTAGAGGGGGGAACAGGTGGGTGCACATGGCGTGAAGCCATGTGTAGCTGGTGAAGCGCGTTCAGGAAGGAAAGCAGCGGAGAGATGGGACACGGGTGCAGGATGGGAGGTGTGGGCGGAACTGAGCGATCGACATCGGCATGAGAACACATTGGTGGAGAGCAGGGTGCATTTATGAGGGTTTAGGGTTAAAGGTTGATGACAGAGCTGATCCAAGTAAAAGGGAGGCGAGAAACAACGTGCCTTTTCAACAGAATTCAGGGGCTTTAAGAATGAGGAGCCGGGAGGAGACGGAGGAGAGGAGGAGAGGAGAGGAGAGGAGAGGAGAGGAGAGGAGATGAGAGATGAGGAGAGGAGGGGAGGGGAGAGGAGAGGGGAGGGGAGGGGAGGAGAGGTCAGGAGAGGAGAGGGGGGGGTAGGTAGGGGAGGGGAGGGGAGGGGAGGGGAGGGAAGGGGAGGGGAGGGGAGGAGAGGGGAGGGGAGGGGAGGGGAGGAGGGGAGGGGAGGGGAGGCGAGGGAATGAGGGTAGGGGAGGGGAGAGGAGAGGGGAGGAGAGGAGAGGAGAGGGGAGGAGAGGAGAGGAGAAAAGAGCAGAGGAGAGCAGAGCAGAGGGGTTTGAGTCACCTGCTGGCCAATCAGGCGGCCATCACGTTCAACTGCCATGTGATTGATTGGAGTGCCACGTGTGGAAGAATGCAGAGTAGAGGAACGGCATGGAGGAGCATCACGTGGACATGCCATGAGTTGTACGATGCATGCATGCATGGAAGGGGAGCGCATGCACAGGTAGAGACAGAGAGACACGAGAGCGCAGCACAATAGAAGATTAAGGAGAAAATGGAGGATGAACAATGCAAAGGAAAAAGGAAGGCAATGAGAGTACGGGGAGAACAGACACAAAGAAGCAACACAGAGTGATGTTCACACCATGAACGGTAACATGCTGATCATCAAAGTAGCTCCACAGCCTGCCTTTCTCGCCCCCCTCTCGCGCATCTGCATGTGCAATGTATCTGGACGTGTAGTGGTTGAGCCCCACAAAGTCCACACTGCCTTTAAGCGAGGCAGCTTGTAAGGGGGAGAAGGAGGGCAGGCGGGGGCCCACGTAGTGGCGCATGGCGGGTGGATAGGCGCCAAAGAATATGGGGTGCAGCAGCCTGAGGGCGCGGAAGATTGCGGAGAGAGGACAGGGGAACAGGGAATGGGGAAATGGAGGAATGGCGAAGGAGGGATGGGGAAAGGAGGGTTGTGAGAGATGGTGATGAGCAGCCTGGCTGAACAATCAGTCATGCACGCACTTTCCGAGCACATTGAAACACGGAACACATTTTGAGACACCTCGAACATTAGTCATGCAGGCAAGCAAGCAATGGTACGCAAGCTGTCTGAAAGGAAGCATATTCGCAGGAGGGTGGAAAAAAGACAAGCGCAGCCACCCACCATCCGAGGTTGAACTGCATGCGCCTATCAGCAGCTGCCACGTCATCTGGGTGCTGAGAGAAAGGCTCCGCCCATTCGCTGTCCACCGCAATGCCGATTTGCCCCCCCTGCTGTGGCTGGTGGGAGAGAGATAAGGTATGGAGGGGGAAAGGCAGAGGGAAAAGACGCAATTTGAGAGCCACAAAACAAACCTGAACAATTTGGTGACTTTAAAGTCAACTAATAACTGGTGGACGATGGGGCGTTGGAAGCAGTGGAGAAGGACGAATTGGAGGAGGGAGCAAGGGACAGTGGGAGAGGGGTGGCTGGGTGAGGGGACAAGAGGGAATGGAGGGATTGGTCAAATGGGAGACAAGCAACAAACAGATTCTTCCAGTGCTTTAGGTATAGGGCTTCGCCACTAAAGGTTAAATCGGGAGGGCAAATAGGCATCATTAGGTGTGCGACTCACCCATTCCACAACATCTTCTTGTCGAGCACCCCATCAGCAGCAGCCCCTTACCCACCCCACCAGTTTAGAGAGTCGTTCCTGCTAACTTCCGCAGCAGCAATCGACCCACTAAGTCCCTCCTGTAGCACTCCACAGCAGCAACGTGTGATGCAGAGTAAGGCTCCACCGCCCCACGGACCCCCCTTTAACAGCAGCAGCAGCAGCACCCGACACACCTGCCTGAATACTCCCTCGTCATCCCACCTACCAGTCAGCAGCAGCAGCAGCGGCGACGGCGGCGGCGGTGGCGGCGGCGGCGGCGGCGGCGGCGGCAGCAGCAGCAGCAGCAGCAGCGTGTGATGCACCACCGCATACGGCTCCACCGCTCCATCGCCCTCTCTACCAGCAGCAACCGGCACACCTACTTGAATTGAACCTTTATCTCTCCTGTAGCAGTTAGCAGCAGCAGCAGCAGCATCCCCCGACCTACGCACCCACCTGGAACTCGCTCCTACAGCAATCAGCAGCAGCACGCGCCAGAAGCATGTGATGCAGCACCACATACATACGGCTCCACCGCCCCATCGCCATCCCTACCAGCACCAGCAGTCTCGGACCCACTTGTCTGAAGCTCTCTCCAGTACCAGTCAGCACCAGAAGCCTTCGACCCGCCAAACAGTAGCTATCGGCAGCAGTAGCAGCAGACACTAGTTCATACCTCGAATTCCCTCCTATAACAGTCCACAGCAGCAGCGTGAGCCAGCAGCATGTGGTGCACCACCACATACGGCTCCACCGCCCCATCGCCCTCCGCACAGCACTGCCGGTCGGAGCAGCGCCCGGGCGCAAAGTCCCCCACGGCGTAGCCCTTGGTGGCAAAGGTGTAGGGCTCGTTGAAGGTGATCCAGTATGGCACTCGGTCGCCGAACAGGGAGAAGCACAGTCGTGCATAGTCCCTGAATGCACCACTGGAGGCGGGGAGGGGAGAGGCAGGGACAAAAGTTGAGTGCAAAGTTCCCCACGGCGTAGCCCTTGGTGGCGAAGGTGTAGGGCTCGTTGAAGGTTAGCCAGTGAGAGACCCTGTCTCCGAACAGGGAGAAGCAGAGCGAGGCGTAATCCCGGAACGCACCACTGGAAGGAGGAAGGGAGGGGAGGGGAGGGGGCAACAGTTGTGAGCAAAGTTTGCCACGGCATAGCCCTTGGTGGCAAAGGTGTAGGGCTCGTTGAAGGTGATCCAGTATGGCACTCTGTCGCCGAAGAGAGAGAAGCAGAGGTGCGCGTAGTCCTGAAATGCACCACTGGAAGGGGAGAAGAGGAGGGGGTAACAGTTGAGCACAAATCGCAAAGGGAGAGGCCAGGGTGTGGGTGAGGGAGAAGAGGGGACAGGTGGGCACGAAGTCCCCCACTGCCTAGCCCTTGGTGGCGAAGGTGCAGAGATTGTTCAGAGCCACAGGGAGGCGCAACTGCTAAAGTGGGAGACATAATGCTGAGACGTAATTCCCTAAGTGCGGGGCTGGGGGGTGGTGAGGCAGGGCCAACAGTTGGGCAACAGTTGGTGAGGGAAGGAGGAGGATAGGAGGAGAAATTATCCAACAATCACCACATGCACACTCACATGCACACTCACATGCACACTCACATGCACACTCACATGCACACTACACTCACATGCACACTCACATGCACACTCGCATGCACACTCGCATGCACACTCGCATGCACACTCGCATGCACACTCGCGGTGACTCACACGATGGCCTCGCCTCTGAATCCGCCAAACTCCTCCTCCAGTGCCTGCGGCAGGTCCCAGTGGAAGAGCGTCACACACGGCGTGATGCCTGCGCACGGGGGGAAAGGGGGTGGGTGGGGTGGGAGTTACAATGAGAGAGTCACACTTGGCTCACAAGGGGGATGGACGTGGGGATGGGGCGTGGGGATGGGAGGTGGGAATGGGGGATGTGATGCCTCCACAAGGGGGAATGGGGGGAAAGGGTGGGAGATACAAAGAGGGAGGAGGATGGAGGCAGCAGAAGCATCAAGGAGAGTGCGGAGTGCTCAAGTGACATTCTTGTTGACTAAAACAAGCACCTGCAGCCACGCTACTGCACCTTCTCATAGAACCAACCCCACCTTCTCTGTATTGAGAGGTCAGTAGTGGTTCACTCCCTCATGGCTCATGGTAATTAGGATGCTTTGCTAACCCAATCACCTCTCTGCTGACGTGCTGAGCTTCAGATACGAAGGACGAAGAGAAGGAGAGATGCAGAGCTGTGCAAGATAGTGCAATGAGGTGAAGAGCGGTTGAAATAGGTGGCTGACCATTACGGAGCAAGCAGTCGATGAGGCGGTTGTAATACTCCACGCCCTCCTGGTTCACTGGCTGCTGGCCCGCTGTGAGCCCATTAAAAAAAAAAATAGAGAGAAACAGAATGGAAGGGTATAGGCAGGAGAAGTGCAGCTGGTTGTAATAACTGACTTAACCGAACACCTTGTGTTGTTTGCAAAGATCAGAGACTCGTGAAAGCGGGTGTGAAGCGGAGGCTTAGATGCTCACGGTCTTGCAGCTAGAGAAAGACAACAGCACGCACGGGAACGAGATGCTTCCTGGAGTGTGCAAGACATGCTCTCCGACAGGACAATTCTTCATCCGCCTCGCACGGAGTGTGCTGTGGAGTGCACAAGGCGAGGAAAGCGGACGCACACGGGAGGATGCGCGACCAGCTGATGGAGAAGCGGTAGGCTGAGAAGCCCAAATGCCTCATCAGTGCCACGTCCTCCTGCATGCTCGAGGGCAGGCAGGGAAAGGAGGGGATGGATGTGGAGCGTGGAGCACACGGGGCAATGGAGAGGGGCATACAAGGGAGGTGCGGCTACCTGATGGTAGGCTTAAGTGCCTCATTAGCCCCACATCCTCCTGCACGCCGTGTTACAGTGAGGTTTGAGGTCTGCGCGGTGACTGGCTGGCCATGCCCAGTAGTGAACACGCCTTGGGGACTGGTGCTTGGAACATGCAGCAGGGAGATACAGCGGTGCAGGAGGGTGCTGGTGGGGTGGAGCTGATTGGGTGGAGGTGGGGGGGCATGGCACGCACCTCGTATCGGTGGTATTGATCGCACGCCACGTCACCTGTGTCCCCGTTGTGTGTCCTTCCTGTACCACACAGAGTTGGCAGCACACCGGTTTGGAGCAAACAAGCATTAAATGGGATGAGTGTGTACTCACACATGCCCGAACATGCTCACACATGCTCGAACATGCTCACATATGCTCGAACATGCTCACATATGCTCGAACATGCTCACAAATGCTCACTCAAAGCCCACTCATGCACCTGCACACGCGATCAGGCTAATGTAAGTACACGTGCCCATTGGACCTCTGTGCCATTAGTGCATCTTTTGTCTTAGTGTGTGCCGTAATGTTCGTGCACACTTGCAAGAGTCTGCTGCATTGCAACATGTACAGCACCTGACCTGCTACCGCACCTGACCTGCTACCGCACCTGACCTGCTACCGCACCTGACCTGCTACCGCACCTGCCCTGCTACCGCACCTGACCTGCTACCGCACCTGCCCTGCTACCGCACCTGCCCTGCTACCGCACCTGACCTGACCTGCTACCGCACCTGACCTGCTACCGCACCTGACCTGCTACCGTACCTGCCCTGCTACCGCACCTGACCTGCTACCGCACCTGCCCTGCTACCGCACCTGACCTGCTACCGCACCTGACCTGCTACAGCACCTGACCTGCTACCGCACCTGAACCGCTACCGCACCTGACCTGCTACCGCACCTGACCTGCTACCGCACCTGACCTGCTACCGCACCTGACCTGCTACCGCACCTGACCTGCTACCGCACCTGCCCTGCTACCGCACCTGACCTGCTACCGCACCTGCCCTGCTACCGCACCTGACCTGCTCGCACCTGACCTGCTACCGCACCTGACCTGCTACCGCACCTGACCTGCTACAGCACCTGACCTGCTACCGCACCTGAACCGCTACCGCACCTGACCTGCTACCACACCTGACCTGCTACCGCACCTGACCTGCTACCGCACCTGCTACTGCACCTGACCTGCTACCGCACCTGCCCTGCTACCGCACCTGACCTGCTACCGCACCTGCCCTGCTACCGCACCTGACCTGCTACCGCACCTGCCCTGCTACCGCACCTGACCTGCTACCGCACCTGCCCTGCTACCGCACCTGCCCTGCTACCACACCTGACCTGCTACCGCACCTGACCTGCTACCGCACCTGACCTGCTACCGCACCTGACCTGCTACCGCACCTGCCCTGCTACCGCACCTGACCTGCTACCACACCTGCCCTGCTACCGCACCTGACCTGCTACCGCACCTGCCCTGCTACCGCACCTGACCTGCTACCGCACCTGCCCTGCTACCGCACCTGCCCTGCTACCACACCTGACCTGCTACCGCACCTGACCTGCTACCGCACCTGCCCTGCTACCGCACCTGACCTGCTACCGCACCTGCCCTGCTACCGCACCTGCCCTGCTACCACACCTGACCTGCTACCGCACCTGACCTGCTACCGCACCTGACCTGCTACCGCACCTGACCTGCTACCGCACCTGCCCTGCTACCGCACCTGACCTGCTACCGCACCTGACCTGCTACCGCACCTGACCTGCTACCGCACCTGCCCTGCTACCGCACCTGACCTGCTACCGCACCTGACCTGCTACCGCACCTGCCCTGCTACCGCACCTGCCCTGCTACCGCACCTGACCTGCTACCGCACCTGCCCTGCTACCGCACCTGCCCTGCTACCGCACCTGACCGGCTACCGCACCTGCCCTGCTACCGCACCTGACCTGCTACCGCACCTGCCCTGCTACCGCACCTGACCTGCTACCGCACCTAACCTGCTACCGCACCTGACCTGCTTCCGCACCTGACCTGCTACCGCACCTGCCCTGCTACCGCACCTGACCTGCTACCGCACCTGACCTGCTACCGCACCTGACCTGCTACCGCACCTGACCTGCTACCGCACCTGACCTGCTACCGCACCTACCCTGCTACCGCACCTGACCTGCTACCGCACCTGACCTGCTACCGCACCTGCCCTGCTACCGCACCTGCCCTGCTACCGCACCTGCCCTGCTACCGCACCTGACCTGCTACCGCACCTAACCTGCTACCGCACCTGACCTGCTTCCGCACCTGACCTGCTACCGCACCTGCCCTGCTACCGCACCTGACCTGCTACCGCACCTGACCTGCTACCGCACCTGACCTGCTACCGCACCTGACCTGCTACCGCACCTGACCTGCTACCGCACCTACCCTGCTACCGCACCTGACCTGCTACCGCACCTGACCTGCTACCGCACCTGCCCTGCTACCGCACCTGCCCTGCTACCGCACCTGCCCTGCTACCGCACCTGGCGTGCGGGCGAACACGTCCCAGATGCTGGCTCCTCGCCCTCCTTCCCGCGCTGCCCCCTCCACCTGCGCACCCAGGGGAAGATGGGGGAGAAGGCGCGCAGCTAAGCATAAGGTGTGGTGGGCACAGGGACGTTCCTGTCATGCGTGCACTCACCTCATGGCCCCATGCGACCAAGTGTCATCGACTTGCCAGAACCTGCCCCCTCCCATGCAAGCAGCCAGAGGAGCATGCGTGTGTTTATGGTTTAGGGTAACCAGCCGTGGGCCCAGCAAATTACCAACACGTCTGGCCTCATGCCCTTCCGCCATCCCTCCTTCCCTCTCCTTCCCCCACTACTCCCCCGTTGCCTGCGCTCCCTCCTCTCCCCCCTCATGCTTCCCCCTGACCCCCGCACCTGGTAGGCGGCAGTGGCGGTGCCAAACAGGAACCCGGGCGGAAACATGTCTCTCCGCAGCGCTCCCCGCGCGCCCTCCTCCGCATCCCCGCGCGGGTCCTTCTCCGCATTCCCCACAAGTCTCTCCGCCCGCGCGTCCTCCGCGCGGTTTGGCAGCGCTTTCCCCCGCGCGACGGAACTTGTTACAAGCGCGTCCGCGAAGAGCCAGTGGCGACAGCTGATACTAGTCGCGCTAAACTTTAGGCGGCGTGAATTCCGGGGCGCGCTGAGGAATATCACGCGGCCGTTTCGAGGAACGTCAGAGCGGGATCGCACAGTCCAACTCCTTGAACCCGAGAGCGAGACGAGTCGCAAATCTCGCCGCGGAACACGGCGCGTATCATGGCGCGAAGGAGTGGAGGGGAGAGCGAGCGGAAGCGCGGTGTGGCGGGGAAAGGCGGTAGGCGGGGAGGCGGCGGCGCGAACGGCGGCAGAACATGGCTGGTTGTTGAGTCGCGTTATCGTGTGATTCGGTGCACTGGTACAAGCCGCCACGGTATAAGCACTGAAAGCCATGAGTTCCACTCGTCACTGCCGAATTCACCCCATTTTACCCTGAAGTTGGGTTGTGAGAGCTCTTGTATGATGGGGCGAGCATTGTTTGCCAAAATTGAGAAACTATTACGGGTGCAATGAATCGAAGTAGCGAGAATTGCACTAAGGTGTCAAAGGAGTACAAAATGTGAGCGAAGGCATGAGCGAACATTTATACGCGAAACATGCAAACGGTAACGCGGTGCGTGCGAGCTAGCTAGTGCTACGCTGGAGCGAGGCTTGGGCTAGTCCCGAAGCGTAGGCCGACACGGCCATGCCAGCAGTGCGAGGTTTGGTGAAAACAGTGCGCGAAGTCGGCGAAGCCCCGTTAGCAGTAACGGGCGAACAACGGCTGTTGCTGTACGCGATGTAGTCGGGCTCCGTAAGGAATGCCGAGAAAATTCCTTACACTACCCCCCCCCTCAAGAAGCCCCCTCCGCTACGCGAGTGCGTGTATATCGCGGAATCCCCGGCTCCTCAGGTACACTTGCAGGGCAGGGTGGTTTTCGATGTTGGCCAGGGGCGGCGTGCGATCCTTCCAGCGGACGAGGAATTCAATCCTCTTGAGTCCCGTGGGGTGTCGAATCCGATGGCTCAGGATTTTTTCGGGCTCGATGATCGGCTCCGATGCAGGGCGAGTCATGGATGGCGGGCGGTGGCGAGGCAGTTGGCTTGTGGTTGGGATGTAGGGGCGAAGCAAGCTGACATGGAACGAAGGGCTGATGTACCAGTCGGTCGGTAACAGTAGGTGCGCGGTTACTGGCGTGATCATGTGGCTGATTTGGAATGGGCCACAGTAGCGCGGTCGAAGTTTTGGTACGTCGGGCAGTCGCAGATTTTGCGTGTCGAGCAGTACGTAATCCCCTGACTGGTATGTGACTGGGCGGCAGTGGCGGTCAGCGTTGCGCTTAGCGATGGCGTTTGCTTTTTTAATTGCTTCTGCGGCTCTGGTGCGGGCAGCTTGCAGAATTGCGGCGAATTGCTGTGCTCGTGGTGTTGGGTTGTCCGGACTCGGCGTCATGGGCACTGTAGGATTTTGCCCGTAGTTCAGGTAGAAGGGGGACTGCTGCGTCGTCGCTGACGTGGCATTATTGTACGCGAACTCGATCAGCGGCAGCTGCTGCTCCCAAGTCGTGGGGTCGTCGCACGTGGCACGAATCAACTGCTCCATCGTCTGATTCGTCCGCTCCGTTTGACCGTCGGTCTCGGGGTGGTACGACGAACTGAACTGCAGCCTGGTTCCGAACTGCTCCCAGAGGTTCTTCCAGAAGTTGCTGGTGAACTTCGTGTCCCTGTCGCTGATAATCGCTGCTGGTATCCCGTGCAGGCGAACAACGGCTGCGATGAACAGACGAGCGGTCTCCTCGGCTGAGATCGACTTTTTGCACGCAGCGAAGTGTGCCATCTTCGTCAACCTGTCAACGACGACCATCACCGCGTCGTTACCCCCAAGGTTCGAAGGTAACCCTGTGACGAAGTCCATGGTAACCTGCTGCCAGGCGCGCTCGGGCGGTGGTATCGGCTGCAATTGACCCGCCTTCCGCTTCCTTGAGCTCTTCATCACCTGACACATGGGGCACGAGCCCACGTGCTGCTGTACGTCGGTCAATAGCTCTGGCCAGTAGTAATACCGCTGCAGTTGCTGTCGCGTTTTTTCTACCCCAAAATGTCCCGAGGTAATTCCGTCGTGTGCCTCCTGCAGTAGTAGCTCCCTCAGTAGTGAGTACGCACGTACCCAGATGCGGTTGGTGCCTGTTTTTACATAATAAACTCCTTTAGCTTCTGCCAGTTGCTGTGAATTTCCGGTCGTGAAGAATGGGTCAGTGCGGTATCCGTGGGTAAATAGGCCTGTTGAAAGTGGGTTGGTCTGGGCGAGTAGGATGGCGTGGAGTTGGGCGGTAGGGCGGGTGAGTGCGTCGGCGATGTTGGATGCGCCTTTCTTGTACGTAACCGTGTAGTGGAAGTTGGACTCGAGGTAGTCCAACCAGCGAATCTGTCGGGATTGAGATTCGGTTGGGCGCGTAAGTACTGTAGTGATCGGTGGTCTGTCCGTACTGTCACGTCGGCGCCAGTCAGGTAACACCGCCAAACCTTGAACGCGTGCACGATCGCCAACATTTCGCGGTCGTGTATCGGGTAATTGCGTTCGGGCGGGTGCAGCTTGCGGGACTCGTACGCGATTGGCTGGAGGCCGTTCCCGAAATCCTGCAACAGTACTGCTCCCTCAGCGATGTCACTTGCGTCAGTGACGAGCTCGAACGGACGGTGTGGATCTGCGATGTGAAGCACGGGCGGTGAGCACAAAATGTTTTTGAGGGCCGAGAAGGCAGCTTGCTCTTTCTCCCCCCACGTGTACTCAACCCCCTTCCTCAGCAGGTCAGTCAACGGGGCAGTCAGCTTCGCCATGTCGGGGACGAACCGGCGCACGTAGTTGACGAACCCCAAGAAACTCTGCAACTCGGTCAAGTTGGTCGGCGCGTGCCATGCTTGAATCGTCGCAATTTTCTTCGGGTCTATTTCCACTCCTGCAGCTGAAATAACGTGTCCCAAAAATTCCAGGCGGTCCTGTAAAAACTCACACTTAGACACTTTGGTCAGTAGGCGGTTCTCACTCAGGATTTTAAAAACTGCGTCGATGTCCTGTAAGTGCTGTGCTCTGTCAGGGCTGTAAATCAGTATGTCGTCCAGGTATACTATGACGCACTTATCTAAGAGCGGGCGGAAAGCTTCGTTCATGGTCATTTGAAAGGTGGCGGGGGCGTTGGTCAGTCCGAAAGGCATGACGGTGTATTCGAAGGATCCGTAGCGTGTGCGGAATGCGGTCTTAGGGCAGTCGGGCGGGTTGACGCGAATCTGGTGGTAACCCCCTTGGAGGTCGATTTTCGAGAAAACCCGGGCTGTGCGCAGTTGGTCGATCAGTTCGTCGGCTCGCGGGATGGGGTAACGGGATTTGATGGTAACCCTGTTCAGTGCTCTGTAATCTATGCACATGCGAAATCCCCCGTCTTTTTTCGGTGTGAACAGTATCGGTGCTGCGAAGGGCGACGAACTAGGGCGGATGAATTCCTTCGCGAGCAGGTAATCGAGCTGCTTCCTTAGTTCGTCCAGTTCGGGCTGGGTCAGTCGGAACTGTCGCTGTACTGTTGGCTGTGCCCCCGGTTCTAACTCTATCCTGTGGTCGTGCGGTCGCTGAGGTGGCAGTCCCGTTGGTAAATCGTCCGGGAAAATGTCGCTGTACTGCTTCAACAGTGCTGCCAGGTCACTCGGTACGTCGGCCAGCAGTTTCTGTAAATCCCCTCCTTTGTCTGCTGCCTCAGCTTCCCGAATGTCGACCGCGTACACGTCAGCTCCTGCCGCTACGGCGCGTTTCATCGTGATCGCGTTGACACGCACCGACGAAGACTCAGGTGAGCCCCAGCGAGGTAAGGCGATGTTGTTACCGTTCACTCGCACGGTGCAGTCACCCGTCGCCCAGTCAATTCGCGGATTGTGTCATCGCAACCAATCACGCCCGAGTAAAATATCGGTTCCGTCGAGGGTCGTTGCGAGCATTTCCTGGCTAAACGTGAAGTTACCCCCACATCGAATCCGAACCCGGTCTACGCGTTTCCGTATCGCCAGCGGCGTGCCGTCTACCTGTCGTGCGTCGATCTCAGGTAAACATTTGTCCAGTGGCAGTCGCAGTTTTCGTGCTGTAGCGGTGTTGATGAGGCTGTGGCTGGCTCCCCCGTCTACGAAGATTTTAACTAAGTCCGTCCCGATTTTCCCACTAAGCAGTATGGGGCTGTCTACCGTAGTCCCCTCCTTATTCGGCCGAGTGTGGTCGATTGCGTGAACCGGCACAATCACTCGGTGAGGGTCGGTTGGGTCGGGCGAGCGGCGTGACCTGTCAGTAGAGGGCCCGTCTGCTACTGACTCCCAGCGTTTCCCTGCTGCTTGGTCTGTTTCTGCTTCTCAGCTTCCCCCTTCCCCTTAGCGTTTTCCGGGCATTCGCTCTTGCGATGTCCCGGCCGATTGCACGCAAAGCAGCGCCCTTTGAACGGTGCGGCAGCGGCATTTGCGGCGACGGCACGTATCGTGGCGCCCTCGTTCGTC